CCACCAGTCTAACGTGTCCTGTAATGGCAGCCCGAGTCAGCTAAGCCATTCACCTAATTCAGGGGGCCGAAGGCAACATGCAGCCTGAAGAGGTCTGGAACCCCAGAACGGAGCCTTGAAGAGCACCCACCTCATTTGACAACCCAAAACTCCAGCCATGGGTCCTGTGCTCAGGTTGTTGAGACCATCTATTAATCTAGCTGGAGATAAAGAGTCTCAGGGCAAAGCAGGGGAAAGTGATTACTAAGAAGTCTCTGAATTAAGGAAATAATTCCCTAGCATTTTTTAATTAAAGCCTTCAACCCAAGAAGCCTGTTAATTTCAGCTTCAGCAAGTGGTTCTGCCACCACTCGGTGCCCTGCAGCCTGCGAACTGTCTGAAGTGGCTGCTCCTGATCTCCGTAATTTGTGAGGTGCTCGTGCTGGGTGCCTGGCGGGTGATTCCAGCCAGATGGGAAGCCAGCCCCTGCAGAAGCAGATTCCTGCTGGATTTTTGCAGCCAGCAGGAGGCTGGAGGGAATCCTCAGATTAGATGCATTTGAAGGGCAAAAGAGAAAAATTCCAGTTGCAAGGTGGTTGACAAAGAGACTAATAAGACAGCTGGTTGAGCACTCCTCACTGTGTGAATAAGTCATGTTCATTCCCAATTTGCTCCACAGACAGGCTAATGAGAGTAGCGAGTATTTACCAAGCTCTTTCCATGTGCCAAGCATTGTGCTCCTTGCCTGAACTATCTCATTTTATCCATATGATAGTTCTTTGTGTGTGTGCTCAGTTGCGTCCAACTGTTTGCAACCGTAGGGACTGTAGCCCACCAGTCTCCTGCAACCCTGGGATTCTCCAGGCAAGAATACTGGAGTGGGTTGCCATTTCCTCCTCCAGGGGATCTTTCCAACCCAGGGATCCAACCTGAGTCTCCTACGTCTCCTGCACTGGCAGGCGGATTCTTTACCACTGAGGTTCCTGGGGAGCCCACCTCTAAGGTGGTATTATAGCCTCCTTTTGCAGATGACAAAACTAAGAACTGCAGTGACTTGCTAGTGAGTGTGTAGTGACACACAGCTAGCAAGTGGCAAAGTCAGNGCCTCCAACTTTTGGCCAACAATATAAGTTAGTTGGCTCTCATTAAAAAAAAAAAAAAAACAAAACACACATGGCTTCCGGATTCAGAGAGACTAGTTTGGCCTCACTTGCCTGTATCCAACTGTCAGTGGGGGTCAGAGAGGGCTGCTCTGGGAAGGGGCCGTAGGACTGAGACTTGACTGGGAAGAAGCCAACAACGAGGTCAGGGGAGGGCACTGCAGGCATGAGGAACGGCTGTGCAAAGGCCCTGGGGCAAGAACTGTGGAGGGACTGGGGACCTGTTGGCCTTTGTAGCTGGAACAGAGTGGGGACAGGCACAGTGTGGGCAAGTCAAGGTGAGGTCCGAGAGGTAGGTGGGGCCCAAAGTGTCAGCCTTAAGAGCCAAGGTCAGGAGATGGAATTTTATTCAAAGGCCTCTAGAAGGCTTTGTAAGATTTCCAGAGGGGGTGATGTGAAGTGACCTCCCTTAGTGGCCTGTCATTATGTTTACTGAGTATTCCAATTATTGACTGACTTGCTGTAACCTCGCCCGTGTCCTGTACACTCTGAGGGAGAAATTATGCCTGATCCATCTTTACAAGCTCCTCTCCTGGTCCTAAGAGACTGCTCTGGGCTCCTGCAAATATTTGTTGAATGAATAAAGAAATGAAGGAAAGATGGATGGACCTGTTTTCTTTGCATTTGTCTTAAACCTCCTCTTGGTTCTGCCTCATCGTCTCCTCGGGGAAAGAGTGTCAGCTTGGCTCTCATTCTCTCGTTTCTGTGAGAGAAGCTCTGGGGCTGGTGCAGGGAGATGTTCCCTCTATGGGCGGGAGATGAATGGGCTGGATCTAACACACTCCCGCGTGAGCCCCTCAGAGCCCGAGGGGCTGAGCAAGAGTGATGATCGGGAAGCAGGGCTGTGGGGGAAACAGTTGGCCATGCGTTCCTAGCCGGCAGCTCAGCACAAGATAAATCAGGCCCTTGGAATTCTAAATGAACCCGCCTCCCTGGATGAAATAGCCAGGGTTCGACCCCAGCTCTGATGGCTGGCCCTGGAAGGCACTGGACCTCTGGAACTTGAGCTACAACCAATGCAGGATTCAGAGAGGAACCACGTTTTGGCTCAGACACCCTGACTCCAAGATGCAAGAAACACTCAGACAGGAAAAGGTCCCATCTCTGACTGGCCACTTCAACCCCCTGCAAACCTCTTCTCATGCTCTCATTCTCTCTCTCTCTCTCCCGTTTTTGGTCGTTTTTTAGTAATGCCTCCTTGGGGTCTGACATCCGCCTTCTATCACACCATGCTAAGGCATAGACAGTACGAACATTTCATCTGCTTGCCGCTCGAGACTGGGCAACTGCCCGCATGAGAGGCCTCCTGAGTTTCATCAGGGCTCAGGTGGATAGAATCTGTGATTGATCAGTGATGTCTGTCAGGACAGACGATGGGACACAGGGTCTAGTACCACAACCTTTCCATTTTTTTCTACAGGCTTGAACATTTAGGCAAGTCTTGTCCCACAGAGAAAAAAAAGGGAGGGGAATATTTTTCTCCAGTGCTTGTGATTTTGGTTTTAATTCTGCCTCAATGGAATAATAATAATATCTGTCATAATTAAGTATGTAAAATATGCCATGTATTAAGTGCTTAACATGTATTATCTCATTTAATCTGCATGGCTTCCCTAAGGTCAGAACTAACTTTCACAGGTGGAAATTTGGTCTTAGAAAGATAAAGTGACTTGCTCAAGCACTCTCAGCTGGTAAGCGGCAGTTCTTGGATTTGAACCCAGTTCTGTAGAATCCAGGGGCTTAACGGTTCCACAGTCTCCCTCAGCAGCTGAATCTGCACCCCTCCCTGCATCACACACATACATGAATCTCTCCTGTGTTTGACTTCTGTCCTTCTTGCTGCAATAAAAGCACAGTCCATCTTAAAATCCCACGATTTAAACACATGACCCGAGAAGCCCTACAGTTGCACTGCTCAGTAAGAGTGACCACTGGCCACATATGACTAATGACTAATGCTACTAATGCAGTCAGTCCAAACTGAGATGTGCTGTAAGATGTAAAATGCACACTTGATTTTGAAAACTCAGTAGAAAAGGGAGAACATACCATGTCACACTAATAATCTTTTATGTTGATTCCATGTTGAAATTATAATACTTTTGATAGAGTGAGTTACTTGAAATATATTATTAAAATTAATCTCAACAGTTTCCTCCCTCTCTTTTTTCCCTCTCTCTCTTTTTTAATATGGCTGCGAGAAAATTTAAGATCACACTTGTGTCTTGTAAAATATTTCTAATGGACAGCACTACTCTTAAGATCTGCCACTTACTCCAACCCTTTAATTTTCCACAGGTAAGGAAATTGTCCAGTAGCATCACCTGTGTTGGACTAAGGCCAGATTTGGGCCCGGAAGGAACATTCTTTCCTACCCCTCCACTGCTCCATGTCCATCACTGTCCACACTGACCATGTGGTCCAGCATCACACAGCCAGCTCATGTCAGCCTAGGCAGTCTGACTTCAAAACCTGTCCCACCAACCTGTACCCCACACTGGGCAAGGCTGAGCCTGCCCCCTTGGGGAGTGTGGTCTGGGGACCACTGTGAGCTACACTCAGGAAGGCAGCAGTTTCTTCTTCTTGGAAAACTATATCACATGATGTATTTCTTGGCCAAATCTTCAAGAGAGAAATTCCACTAGAATTAAAAATGACTGGGGTTTCCTTCGGGGAAGTGATATTTTTTATTCCATCAAAGAAGATACACAGTGTGGTTCTTGTTTCATTGTAGACTCCTATTTTGCTTGGTCCAGCCACACCTTCCACTCTGTCTCATTCATCCATTTGCAGATCATGAAGGGGGACCTAACACACATCAGGCACTGTGTCAAACCTCCAGTGACATCATAGCCAACATCTTGGCTATAGTTCTTCCTTCCGAAGTAGATGATACGCTGTATTTTCAGTTCCCTTTACAAAGCATCACTTTTTTTTTTTTAATCTGGGGACTGTGTTGAAGTGGGGAGAAGCAAGAAGTGCGTGAGAAATACCCTCAGTGTATCGCTCAGAGTGGGGGTGGAGTAACTGAAATGGACAGAGGACTGCAGTGGGGTCAGCCCAGAGGCAGATGGCGGGAACACAGCAAGTTCTGCAGCCACAGCCATCCTCCTGCTCCACCTCTCTGCAGCAACCGGGTCTGCTGCGAAGTGGTGGCGCAGTCATTAGCAGTCAGGAATGGAGGCCTCTCTCTGCATGAGGCAGTTCTCCCAGCATCCCCAACACCTCCCCAAAAGGTTTTTCTCTGGCCTTAGCCATAAACCTTGCTGGTAGACAGCTAATACCCTGGCTGACTGCAGCTCCACCTTTTGGAGTTACAAATTTGGAGAGGAGGAGGTTCATTTTCAGAGGCCCCTGGACTGACTTTGGCTTCCAGGGCAAAGATGCCGCTCTGGATGGAACTGTCTGTGAATGGTCCCAAAAGGAGCAGCATCTTGCCAGGGCCTGGAGCCTAGCCTCCCTGGGAATCTTAAGGGTTTATTCCTGTCAGGTTTTGAAGGATAGAGAAATGGAACTACTAACTAGCTCCCCACGGAGTTGCTGTGAAGACGAACTGTGATCTTGTGCGTAGAGCATCTGGCTTGAAACCTAACCACAAGAAGTACCTGAGAGTCATTTTTTACTTAGCACACTAGGTCCTTGAAGGAAGCCGGGGACCCACAAACCTTTGCTCTAGATCAGGTGACCACGCCCTCACCGTAGTCACAGCTGATTGGACAGAGATGGGCACATGACTTGCGGGTGACCAATCCTGAGGCTGCTGGCAACAGAACGCTTGTGGCGATGGCTTCAAAGGGATGAGGAGCTAGACCAGTGCTTCCGGGGAGACAGGATGTATGAAACTGATGGCAAGTATATGATTTAAGATTTTTTTAATTGTTATGCTTTTCTTTAGGTATGTCAGGAAAATGCTGGCTTTCCATTTATGGTACTGATTATAAGTTCCTTTGTGATACATAATATTAAAAATCACAAAGAATTGATGTTTGTAAACATATGAAGTAAAATTTAGCCCGCTGGTAGGTCAATAACGGGAGAGTGGAAGCGGAATGACACCCAGCAAAGTCCAAAGGCCACACTCCTCCCCAGGGTTTGGAGATGAGCGAAATAGATGATTGAAGGTGATGGCGAGGGGCTGAAGGTAATGGAGGTGGAGCTGAGTCGGAAACAGCAAGACCAAAGCCCTTGCAGGCTGCTCTGTGAGGGAGAGGGGAAAACACAGAGGGTGGGAAGCTGGTTGGTGCTAAGATAGGAGACTGTCTCTAAAAAAGAAGAGAGACACACACACAAGAAAAACAAAGAGAGAGAGAGACAGACACAAAAAGAAAGACAGACAGAGAGAGAAATGGAGACAGGCGGAAATACCCGAGCTACCTACCTCCAGGCTTCTTGAGTCTGCTTCTTACAGGAAATCCGCTAGTTTCCTGAGATACCTTGAGTGAATCTCTATTCACATCAGAAGCCCCGATGTGAATGGATGGCTAGGAAGGAATTGTATTTTGAATATCCTTGGGCACCAGCCAGCGTGTTTAAACCTACAGTGGCAGACAATGAGGAGCCACTGAGTGTTCTTGACAGAGAAACAGAGAGGGAATAGAGTGAGGCAGGTGAGGTGCCAGAGAGAACTTCAAGGAGATACTTTCAAGCTCAGATGTCAAATCCCAACAGATGGCTCATTTATACAGTTCTTCTTGAAATTTCATGGAATGTACTGATCCAAAAGAGCATTGGCCATTATGTGAGCTCATACTGTGTCCAAACTATGGATGGCCATCACTATAACTCTGTTACTCTGGAAGCAAATTGAAAGAACCAGTTGGTATATAATTTAAATTTTGCTAATGTGTATTTACTATCTGCACCCAATTATCACCAATCAATATATCAGTGGCAGACAATGAGGAGCCACTGAGTGTTCTTGACAGAGAAACAGAGAGGGAATAGAGTGAGGCAGGTGAGGTGCCAGAGAGAACTTCAAGGAGATACTTTCAAGCTCAGATGTCAAATCCCAACAGATGGCTCATTTATACAGTTCTTCTTGAAATTTCGTGGAATGTACTGATCCAAAAGAGCATTGGCCATTATGTGAGCTCCTACTGTGTCCAAACTATGGATGGTCATCACTATAACTCTGTTACTCTGGAAGCAAATTGAAAGAACCAGTTGGTATATAATTTAAATTTTGCTAATGTGTATTTACTATCTGCACCCAATTATCACCAATCAATATAACTGTTATTCCTTAATGGGTGAAAATTGCAATTCCGGTGCCCCAGATCAGCATGGGGTGTTGCGTCTAATTGGGACAGAAGTTATTCAGGAGCATAATGAAAATGTAAATTCCAGCACATTAATCAAACAATTATTTCTATAACCATAAGACAGCTGATCCTAAACTTAATTAGGAAATAAACAAAGTTAATCAGTGAGCAGACAACATTTACTAATCATATATGTGTCACAAGAAAAGAGATATTAGGCAATAATTAATTACAACATCCCAAATGCCAACCACTCTACAATCCCTAAGATTAGTCTCTCAGCTTTAAGGAAGCAATACGCAAATTTTTATTAAAGCATTTTTCTGCTTTAGGGTCTAGAAGACACCAGTGAATGAAGAAATATATTACTGTGTATGATAAATAATAGCACCTCTTTAAATATCAGAACCAAGAACTAGAAGTGTACTTATGTGACATCGTGGACCATCCAGCTCAGTTTGAGCTTAACTATCAGAGTTTAGTTCTTTTCAAGTGAGAGAGAGGTGAAAAGGAAGCAAATTCCAATTCAGATATAAAAATTTTAAGAAGACATAAACCAAAGCCAATTGTGTTTCTCTCTCCACTATTCATCCTTAGCTTCTTTTCAAAACTGCTGCTCGGTACAATTTTGTGCCCAAACGTGAACTCTTCTCAACTTACCTTGGCTTCTGATTGGTTCCTGGGACTGTTTGGTTACTGTTAACTGATTGGTTACTGTCTTTGATGGCTCTGTGAGGTTCTCCCTGACTATCATGCAGTTCTGATGATGGTGCAAACCCATCCAGAAGTTTCCAAAGGTATCTTTGCTTTCTCCTCCTGGAAGTAGAAAAACACACAGAATGAAGAAATTTGAGAGGCTGCTGGGAGAAGAATACCTAATCGGAAAATTTCCCAAGGAGGAATATGGATTTAGCCAAGATCAAGCTACACAGCTGAATGCAACAGACAGCTGACACATAGGGGGTTCTGCCGGTGAGGCTTGCTTGTGCTTCACATATTGCTGTGGTCTGAGTGTCCCCTCAGCTTTCATATGTTGAAGTCTCAGTCCCCAACGGTGATGGTTTAGAAGGTGGGGCCTTGGGGAAATGATCAAGTCATAAGAGTGAATAGAATGAGTGCACTTATAAGAGATTCCAGAGCGTTCCACAGCCAGTTCTGCCAATGTGAGGACACAGAGAGAAGTCTGTGACTCAGAAGAGAACCCTCACTCAACCATGCTAGCACCCAGATCTCAGACTTCCAGCCTCCAGAACCGTGAGAAATACATTTCTGCTGTTCATAACCCATCCAGTCTATGGTATTTTGGTTATGGCAGCCCAGACAGACTAAGACTAAGACTAATACTAATGTGTTTAACCCGCACAACAATCCTATGAAATAAGTACCACTATCATCATCCCAGTTTGTTCTGATGAGGAAACTGAGGCACAAATAATTCAAGAAATGGGGCCTGTAACACAGCATGCAAGTCACAGAGTCAGGATTCACGCCTGCAAATCAGGAGCCAGAATTTATGGTTCCCTGCTTATGTTCACTGGCTGAGTTTGGGTTTTTTCATATCTGTGCTCCCAGAGTCCTTTGTGCCTCCCCAATTGTATTATTTATCAGTTAGTGTCATTGGGAATTTTTTTCCAAAAGGTAATTTATTTTTAATTAATTATTATTAATTAATTTATTGTTGGCCACACTGGGTCTTTGTTGCTGCATGCAGGCTTTCTCAACTAGGCTCAGTAGTTGTGGCACATGGGCTTAGTTGCCCTGTGGTATAAGGAATCTTCCTAGATCAGGGATTGAACCTGTGTCCCCTGCATTCACTGGTGAATTCTTAACCGTTGGATCACCAGGGAAGTCCTCAATAGGTAATTAAAATGTTAGGCATTTAAAAAGATGTCAAAGGTCCCATGATGAAAATCCCTCTTGCCACTCCTGCCCTCAGCCACCCAGTTCCTCTCCCCAGAGGCTGCAGTGGTTCTACTTTCAACCTCTACATAAGCATTTACATTGTCTTAGTTTGTGTTTCCTCAAGAGCAGATCTCAAGGTAAATATTTGGGCTCAAGTAGTTTGGGAGATTATCCTAGGCAGCATGGTGAAAGAGTGAGGAAGTGAGACAGAAAGGGGAGGAAATCCAAGTGCATGTGAGTGAGCAGGTTATCACCATGGGTAATTAAGGCTCACTCCTTGGACTTCTGGGAGGCAGTGTAGATCGTGTTTCTCAGTTGTTTCCACCGAGAGGGCTCCAAAATCACTGAGGATGGTGACTGAGCCGTAATATTAAAAGACTCTTGCTCCTTGGAAGGAAAGCTATGACAAATCTAGACAGCATATTAAAAAGCAAGACATCACTTTGCCAACAAAAGTCCATCTAGTCAAAGCTGTGGTTTTTCCAGTAGTCATGTGTGGATGTGAGAGTTGGACCATAAAGAAGGCCGAGGACTGATCCTAAAAGAAATCAACCCTGAATATTCATTGGAAGGTCTGTGCCTGAAGCTGAAGCTCCAATACTCTGACTACCTGACGTGAAGAGCTGACTCATCGGAAAAGACCCTGATGCTGGGAAATATTGAAGGCAAAAGGAGAAGGGGGCAGCAGAAGATGAGATGGTTATATAGCATCACTGATTCAATGGACATGAATGTGAGCAAACTCCAGGAGATAGTGAAGGACAGGCGAGACCGGTGTGCTAGAGTCCACGGGGTCTCAAAGAGTCAGATGTTACTCAGCAACTGAACAACAACAACAATCCCTTATTGGTTGAGGGTCACATCAGGTGTTTATTTTCTAGAAAGAGCCTCCATGTGCATTGAAACAGCCTGCAGACAAATGCTAAACACACACAGGTTATTTTCTCTTCAGTACATGTGGCAAAATAATATGCACATTATTGTATATTCTTTAACCTAAGAGTAAATCTTAGTAATCTTTCCATATTAGTGAATATAAGAATATACAAATTCTTACATAGATATAATATCATTTGTCTCATCGGTCTCCTACTCTTGGTCATTTGGGTGATGGGACTTTGGAAACTTTCATCATTACAAATAATGCTGAAATGAATAACTCAGTACACGAATCATTCTGTGCATGGATGAGTATCTGTAGGTTAACTTTCAACAAGTGGAATTGCTGGGTCAAGGGTGTTAATGCTGCAGCGTTAATGTTGCCACGCTGCCCTGCATAGGGGTTGCACCTATTTAAACTTCATGTAATGAATGAGAATATCCTGCTTTGATGATTAGCAACTCATTTGCCTTTTATTCTCTCTATATTTTGGGCTTCTTGGGGCAGCAACCATTTTGGATAACACCTAACATGTTGTAAATGCTCCTTAAATCTTTGAACAGGTGGATGAGTGGAAAGATAAATAGATGGAAGGATGGATAGATGGATGGATGAGGGACAGATGAATAGGTGGATGGATGGATGAGTAGATGAATTACCCTGAAATTGTCTTTCTTGAGGAGACCAAGATGCAGTATAAAAAATAAATAAGTAATAAGCCAAAAACTAGAAATTCATTACACCAGGTAGATCTCCGTCATTATCTGCTCTCATAGCACATTTTGTGCTCCTGGGAGTGGCAGGAGGAAATTCAGCCATGGCTGGCCAGAGGCAGGCTGCTCACAGTGGCTGCCTGCATAATCCAAGGCAGGTCATTCCTGAAACTCAGTGGGCTGGCGGTGGTCAGCAGATCGGCAACACTATCTCAAGAAGAGAGCTGCCACTCACTCCAAAGTTGGTAGTGACAGCATCAGGGTTTAGTTGGAGGCTTCAAGCACACTGTTCTTGTGTGTGTGCATGCATGCGTGCTTAGTCGCTTCAAGTCGTGTCCGACTCTGCGACCCCATGGACTGTAGGCTGCTAGGCACCTCTGTCCATGGGATTCTCCAGGCAAGAATACTGGGGTGGTTTGCCATTTCCTCCTCCAGGGGATTTTCCTGACCTGGGGATCAAACCTGCAATTGGATTCTTTGCCCTCCTGAGCCACCTGGAAAGCCCACACTGTTCTTACTTCAATTTTAAATTATGGATCAATTAAAAGAGCCAAACTGTTTAAGGATGCTTTCATCTGCACCCTACTTAAGATGAAGAAAATATTCATTGCTCATATCAAAGAACAGTATTATAATTTAGGGTGTAGCTTTGACTGAGAAGGTAAACCCAGCCCCCCACTCCAGCCTGTGTCAGCAAGTCCCCACACCCACACAGCCTCTCTGCTCAATTTTCTCTCCCCAGAGCCCTACATCCTTCCTTTCTCAAAGCTTTGCATCTTTATTCTTTCAAAGACACAGCTGGCCGAGGGACTGGATGAAGAATTTGGTTCTCCCCCTCACTTATTCCTGAACAGATCTCCTTAAGCTGCAGTTTGTTTATTTCCTGGAATTTCTGCCAGCCAAGCAGACCCCAGGGAGGGGCACGTGGGAACGTCAGGAAGAGAGTTGAGTCCCATGCTTAGAGCCAAAGCATTTCCATTATTAAAATAGCATGCAAAATAACATTCACTCTTTCCAATGGAAATCTATAGTGTATACTTATTATGGCAACTTCAGAAAGAACCAAAAAACAAACAGAAGAAAGTCAAAGTCTACCCACGCCCTTAAGCAGAGATTATTACCCTTAGCATTTCAGTCAGAAATCTCATGGTCTTTTTTTTTTTTTCCTTCTACCCACGTAGTCATTTTTCATCACAAAAATGGCACATATGGTGCAAACTCTCGTGGTCCAATTTTTCCGCTTGACGTTTCATGAGAGTCATCTCCTGTCTTTCAAACAGACTTCCATTATTCTTAACAACTGCGTAATAGTCTGTTGGGTGGCTATAACTTAGCTGATTTAACCTTCTCCCCATGTTGGCTATTTAAGTTGCCCCCTTTGATTGTTATAAACTGTACTACTGGCAAGAATTATTGTCTTTTCAATAGGCTTTTTTTCCCCCAAAATATTTTTGAGGTTTCTCAAGGGTGACCACCCACAGGTGATGGCTATCATGGAAAAAGGAACTTGACCTATTACATTAGGGGTGACACCTCATTGCAAGAAGACAGGGGGTGCTTCTGTTTAAACACCAGTGAGGGTGGATCTCCTGTTCCTGGGGGAGGAGATATAGGGCTTTATGCCACTGCCCTGATGCCTCCCAGCATTCCAGTCTTGTGCAGTTTTCACCCTGACCTCTACTTGGCCCTTTATTGATCTGTCCCCATCTGGGTGCAAACACTTATTTTTTACTCCCAGGGCATAGCCAAGATTAGACCATCAAGTTTGCCAAGAAGTTGCTGAACATCCAGGAGGGATTTACAACCAAATGTGTGATTTATTTCTGCTGCCGCTTGAGGTGGCTCCTCTCTGGGTCATCAGGCTCCAAGCCTATCCTATCTGCCTTTCCTGGCTGCCCCTTGCCTGGCTGCCATCCTGCCTCCAAAACCCAGGGGTAGCAGATCCCACCCCACCGAGAGTGCCTTTGAGCACTCCTACATTCCTGGGGTGCAGATCTCCTTGTTTAAAATGCCACCTCCACTGTCCTCCTTTCCTGCCCACCCTTTGGCAGTGGGAATGTGGAAATATATGAAGACCACCCAAATGAGAATAAGTGAAGGACCGCAGGCATGAAATTAAAAGGCACTAGCTCCTTGGAAAACGAGCAAATCTAAAGAAAGTATTAAAAAGCAGAGACATCACTTTGCCAACAAAGGTCCATATAGTCAAAGCTGTGGTTTTCCCAGTAGTCGTGTACAGATGTGAGAGTTGGACCACGAAGAAGGCTAAGTGATGAAGAATAGATGCTTTTGAATTGTGGGGCTAGAAAAGGCTCTTGAGAGTCCCTTGGATAGCAAGGAATCAACCCTGAATATTCACTGGAAGGACTGGGGGTGAGGCTGAAGCCCCAATACTTTGGTCAGCTGATGCGAAGAGCCAGCTCATTGAAAAAGACCCTGATGCTGGGAAAGATTGAAACAAAAGGAGAAAGGGACAGCAGAGAATTAGCTGGTTAGATGGCATCACCGACTTAATGGACATGAATTTGAGTCAACTCCAGGAGATACTGAAGGACAAGGGGAGCCTGGCGTGCTGCAGTTCTTGGGATCACAAAGAGTTGGACACGACTCAGTGACTGAACAACCACAGCAAATTTATTCAGAGGTGGCTATAAAGCAGAGGAGTGAGCCACAGTCACTTGCATTTGGCAGAAACTCAAAGGCCAGCCAAGTGGGAGAGCTTGGAAGTGGGAAAAAGGGAAGGTATCGGAATGCCCTGGTTTTCAGCCGGGGAAGCTAGAGGCAGGCATCCCATATGCACTAGAAGGTCTCCTAGGTATTGGCTAGGAGTGCATATTTTCCTTTTCCTGGTCAGTACTAAG